TTTTTATCGTGGTCAATATAACATAATCTGAGTAAAGATGCTCAGAATAGCCCGGAGATGTACAACTATGAGGTGATAATTTCCTAAATATGTTGATCTACGAATACGGATATACGAAATTATGGGATTCGGGTTGTACTACAGGGACTCCTTATGTCTTTTTAAGTGCTTATTAGCCATTTACATACTTGACAGGAGTGGACGTGTTACTTACCATTAGGAGAAAACATTCGCCTGCAAACTATGCAAATACGCTCACTGTTCTATACGTTTCAAACTTTGTTTTGGCACGCATGTTATTCGGAGTGTGGCCGACAGTGAATGTTTATCGGTAGATTTTCAAACACTTTATTCTATAGGTTTATGGCATATATTGTCTTGACGTTTGCCAGTTTGCTTCTCTTATCCACAATCAAAACTACTATTACAATTGCGTGGTGAATTAATAGCTAAACGCGTAAACGGAGAGCAGGTCAACAGAATCGTCCAAGAGTGACGTCGCCGCGCGCGCCACTTTCGCGGCGTCGCAATGCGGCACCTTTCCGAGCCCGAAAATTTTGAATTTGACGATTGGAGCTCACGATGATCTATGTGGAAAGCGGATATCGAAGCCAGTCTGAAACGCACTACCTGCTTTTTAATAACAGGTGGAGCAAACAAATTTGTTTACAAAGTTTTTATCGTAGCGCTGAAAAAGAAGCGGAAAGAAGATCCCGAGAGAACTAAAACATTCCGCGCATTGATTGAAACTGAATGTCAAAGGGATGAGGTCGATTTGACGTCCCTTTAACATTCAATTTCAAATGACGCTCGCAGAAACTCGTCCACTGCAGTCGCGACGTCGCGACCACGACCAGTAACGAGGGCCTCTGAACGATTCTGTTGACACACACCCGCTGTAAACACATCCTCATTAAATGTAATACGAATCAGAAAGCGCTCATAATATAACGCTAGTGGAATTTGTGTTTTTTATTTCTTTTGTAAAATGTTCATTTAAATTTTTCCTTCTCTTCCCTAAACAGATATCAAGGTTCGCCAATGAAGTCGCGCTCTTGGGAAATTGTGATTCGAAGGGAAACGCGATTATTCTACGCTCGCGAGCCTAGGATTTAGGTACTATGTTCTTATACAATAAGTGATGAAACATTCAGGCCACCGTCAGACAGCGATTACATCATCTTTGGCCCAGAAGTGTTATTCCATAGCGCTTCCCCTTGACTTCGCGCGGGAAGCCTGACTCTCGTCGCGAATTCCGACATGTTTTAATAGAGCACCTGAGAAGATATATTGCCAGTATCGCTTCAGCCTAGGGGAACCGCGTACAAAACGGAACTCACTACTTCTTTAACCCCTGCCATTTAGTCTTTATTTCAATACATTAGGTTGCAAAAAATTTCATTTATTGCTAGAAAATTTTTGAGCTCCGAAAATTCCGCTACGTTTTGTTGCCACAGCATTCACCTTTGAAAAATATCGGCCAACCGTCCAGTTCGTTGTTTCGATTCTTATTATAATTATTACACCGCGAAAAGCTCTTCTCGACTGTAATAATCACGATACCGTTCGGGATCTTCCGCGAGTCAGGCTTCACCAAGGATTAAGCCAGAAGATGGGCGAGGGCATGCTCTCTCAATCCACGGTGCACCGGCGCTTCACTCTGCTCAGCGTTGACTTTTTTATTTGAAGATGATCCACACCAAAACCACCCGTGACTGGCAATCACGATGCTCTATCCTGACGCTGTTGAAAAGGGATCTGGATAGACTATCGATCATTTGCAGAGCAATTCCGATGCGACAAGGAGACAGCACTGGGCATCTCCAAAGACTTGTAAAGATCCGAAAATATAGAGTTTGGGTCCCACATGCCTTGAGCCCGATTCAGCTCCAAACACGATCTGACATCGTTATGTTCAAGTCGACTTACTATGGTTTCTACGATTGACCATCCATCACATTTGCCGAAGATGAGGAGTGGGTACAGTTTACTAACAAATGAACAAGCGGCGGTAGTCCAGCTCAAACGCTTCGGGAGATCTTATTGCTTAAGTTCAACCTCGTCCAAGTAGGGCCTTCTCGGATTTTTGGTGGAACACGAGAGGAGTTAAGCTCTGGAAACCCCTACGTGTAGATGTCGCAGTCAACGCGAAAGTCAACTATCCACAGCTCGAATGCAACGCTTTTAATACGAAAGAAAAACAAGGCAAAGTTTGCTTTTTATGACACCGTTGAACCACCTCTTGCTAAGAAAATTCAGGAAAATTTTGAGACTCTCGGACGGAGAGTTCTTCCGTATCCACGTTCTCACCTCGTACCAAAGAATGCCCACCTGCTTCTCTCTCGAAAGCGCCTCCTGGAGAAAAAAATTTCATTCTAACTACCATGGTGTCAAAGTCGACATCCAATTGCAATTCTTGCAATTCAGTGGAGTAAGTTCCAGAAGAGAGGCATCAAACACATCTAGTGCGTTGGCAATAGGTTGTAGATATTGATGGTGTGTATTATGCTGGATGAATGGAACAAAAAGATAATCAAAATATTAAAAGAAAAATTAAGCCAGTTTGTTGCAAGACTTATGGACCAACCTAATATATCTTAACAACCTTTGTAGCTTACGTCTTTTGAACAGGTCAACAACAAAGTTCACTGATCGTAGGAGCACATAGAAAAGGCGAGAAAAGGCAAACTAACTAAAGGAAAAAGAGGCTGGTGATGTTTTCCTTCGCTTGGAATGGCTCGCCCCACCACTGCCAAAGTTTGACGCCGAGCTCACCAGTTCTCGTTTCCGCACTGAACAGATGAAATATGAATTGCAAACCTTTAACAAAATTCAATACAATTTCAAAACCCAGCCTCATAATCGAAGCCAGGTAATAGTTTGAAACAAAAAAGATTACCTCTTCGTTCGTGTCCTTCTTCGCTGAGTATATCAAGCCGTGGCCTCCGAGAGCTACTTCGAGAACGACTGCGTCTACGTGATGGTGGTTTTTCTTCGCCAAACGTCCATCGACGCATAAAATTCATCCTGAACTTCAATTTCGAAGTTCGGGTTTAAGTTTTACTAGATAGAGCGATTATCAAACTTCAATTACTACACTTTTCCAATAGTTCGGTAAACAAAAAAAGGGCCACCTTGAGGGTGCTTAGTCATAAAATTACACGACAGAATAGGCCGCAGGAAAATTATGTAGGTAATTCAAAAATACACGGGCACTGCTTAGTATCTTCAGACCAGCGGAAACTCTGAAATTATTTTCACCTGTTCAAGACCAGTTACGCTGGCTTGCCACTTCTATCGCTTTTGCTGCCTCACGTTCTTGTCGATAAATAAGTAGTCAAGCTTAAATATAGATAATGTGTTTGAATTACCCAGAACTCGACATAAAAATACAAGGCACATGACCTCGAACCTTGACCATCAAAATTCACACCTCAGGAAGGGGATTTTTTTCGTAGACAAAACAAGAGCAAAACGTCGAACATTCAGTCAGCATGAACTGCTGATTTAAAAATAATTAATCGCTAATCAAATGTAATGAATGATCAACCGCGTGCTATGAACATCTGAGGGAGAGAAAAATGGTAAAAGAAAACAAAAAACAATAAAAACAGACACGAAATTATTCGAGTTCTTCTGCCAACCAAACGCTATTAACAACTCATCACCACCACGACAAATACAATAAAATAAGAAAAAAAAACAGGAATTAATCGACAGTACCCACACTCAGGGATGCTAAAATGTTACAACTTTTCAAAGAGAATAAATACGAAGACTTTTGTCCATCGATGTTGAATACAGGGAGCGCGCATGATCTCCAAATCGCACAGCAGTTACTGCAGCCGTATGCGTATCGAAGGTAGCAACCACCTGAAAACTCAATTAGCTATATAAGTGAAAGTGCAAGTAGAACGTACTGCACACAATTTTGCTCCTGTAATTACGAAACCAATACAGAAATCAGCAACTACTCGCATTCATTAACGATGCATTCTTAAAAAGCTGATTGTCAGTAAATCGGACATTTCATGAGTTTATCACATTCATTCTCTATTCTTATCCTTATCTTTCTTTATTCTTCCTCAATGTATGAAAATATAGAACTGCATATGAAATTAACCACACTTCTTGAAAAAATTCCTATCTTGCGCTGTATCCAAAAATTTCATCAATTTGCGTCTCTATCTTGAGTGAAACATTCTGAAGATGAGATTTGGCGTCTAACGATAAGTGATATTTACCTAGTAGCAGCTAGGACTAAGCAAGGAGGAGGAAGTCCCCAGGAGAGAGTGAGAATTACTCACGAACTCGGAGATTTCCTCCCCTTCTGAGGTTTAGTAGAACCTTCAAACTAGGGGAATATGCTATACGTGGTTTTGAATACCACGACCGCTCTTAATCGCATGCCCCCACCCTGTTACTAGAGCAGAGATTCGCTTTTACAAACCTCGAGCTCTTCTGAATTGCAGAGAAGTCGAGATGAAATAAAATTTGTTACTTAACTAGAGTTATCGTTTCAAAAACAAAACAAACCTGCCAAGACTTCACGTGCAACACTTCCACATCACTGGATCCTACCGAAAGATACGTTCCAGAATGATCGAAACAAATGTTGTTAATAGAGTGCTTGCCATCGTGCAGACTCAACGTTTTCAAGTTCTTCAGCTTACGGAGATCCCATAGCTTGAGCTGAATCAAACCCTTATTAACTGTAGTACCATAAGAAATAGAAAAAAATATAAGGGTCAAGCAATTATGTAGAGTTCACTTTATGGCTTAGTTCACAGTTCCTGATACAAATAACAGCCTGTAGTGGAAGTTTTCTGTAAGCATGGACCTAATAAAAACACAATTTACCTCTCCATCCTCTGCACCAGTAGCCAAATAGTAACCGTTTTCTGAGAAAGCAATAGCACGTACTGCACCTTGGTGACCAGGGAAGTTAGCAACATTCGTTTGTTCTTTCAAATCCCAGATTTTTACCTGAATATTGAAAATGAGAATAGCAACATAAGACTAAAGCTTAATGTCATGTAAACAAACTCACAACAGCATCCGCAGTTCCTGTACCGAAAATCAAACCATCTGGATGGAATTGACCGCAGCAAACAGCAACAGATGAGCTGTCATCGGCGCGAACCTTCAATGACAAAGATTCATTGTTACTAACAAGTTCGTTCGATGCAATCAATGAGTAATCCTTTGCTTGAGATCCTTTTTTCCTTGCTTCCTTTCTAGCAAACAAAAATTACGACCATTCTGAGATAGTGGACCTAGAGGCGAAAGTGGAGATAACCCAAGGACGTTCAACCTATGAGTTCCGTTGAAAAATTTAGAATCTAAGCCTGCTGTGTTGACCTGTCAAGAAGAGTTACGTAACAACGTGGCCAAGAAATGAGTAAAATTGAGATACCTTGTTAATTTCTGAGATATTTCGTTGACCCATGAGTAACGCTTCTTTTTCGAATGGAAATTTGTCACCGAATTTCCCAGTTTTCGCCAAATCCCATGAACAATCTGATAAGGATATGCCTGCTCCACAAAACTGTCCGCTTCGCTCTCCTTAGGAATGTTTCGAATTTCAGGCTTGCGAAATAAGAGGTTCAGTCAACGAATAAGCCAAACCGGCAAGTGGCTCAAACCTTATTTCCCATTGGGAGAAATCAAGTAGTGATGTTCAAAACTCACATGAGGCTTTTTCTGAACATTCCCCTATTGGACTGCCCTACGATTGACGTCTTTCTTCTTCTCAAATTTGTTTTTCTGGTGGACCGCCATGCGGTGTTTTTTTTTACTAATTTTTTTCTTCTAAATCTCTGATTTTGTCAGAAGTCATACACAACTCGAGAACTCTCGTTCTGGTCTATTTGGCAGATGTATGCTTTCATTGTCGCTGAAAACAAGGGGGAATTTTAGGGGCACGTAATAAGGTATCGGGTCTATGACTATTACACAACTCTTTTTTTTTCTTTGAAAAGATGACAAAATCAACCAAATATGAACTCCGTACCTATTAATGACTCTTCTAAAAGTCAGTGAGAAGGCTTTTCGATGTCTCGGCCGTAAAATACTCTACTTTTAAATCCAGTGCAACTATGGTTCTGATTGAAACTGCTAATAAGAAAAAAAAACACAACATTCGGATAACCCAAGAACGAGGTGCTTAGAAAAGGCCTTAAGTAGAGCAATTGGCACAATACTGATTGATATCTTTTGAACGGAAATTAGTTAGTTGCTTAATGGTTAATTTTTGATTGATTTTCGGTTAATTTTTCTCACTGTATCTCCCATTTCACACATTTAGGAATCGATCTATTCCGAAAGAATGTGGAAACGAAACAAAATGATTCGTGAAGCAGACAATTTTCCATCGAAGGGTGTGAGCATAGTAGACTAGGAAATTAAAGAGGATATTTCATTAAAAAACATTCTATAGGACAATATAATAAAAGAGGCTCAGGATCGTGTTTTGCATTTCGGGAGTGAAAAAGGTAGTGTCGATCATGTGCGATCGCACGATCGATGCCTATCAATTTCGAACTCAAATTGCAAACCGAATGGAAGGTACCACCCGACCCCTCAATAGATCGTCATATCTCACGCTCCTTTTCGAAGCTGATCTTGCCAACCCACCCGCATTTCAAAATTCCCGAGCATACACTAGCATGCCTTAGAGATCCGTTAAATTTCTAATTGCTCTAACCTTGCACAATGTCTTTCCAGTATTAATATCACTAAGCGCCCAATGAGAATCATCAGACACAGAAAGAACGTAATCTCCAGTGGCATGCAGCGAGATATCTAAAAACAAAAAAAATTAGAGCATGCCGAAGTAGACAGCTTATTGAACCACATACCTGTGACGGCTGCTTGATGAATGTCAATCAGAGCTTTACAACTTTCCTCACCGGTTGTCCATACACGTACCTAAATTCCAAGTTGAACTCTAGCAACTCTTATTTTGAAACGATTGACCTGTACCACATCTACCCACTCATGAACCAACCTGAGCATCAGAGCTTGCAGAAATAGCATTTTTGGAATTTGGATGTAGAATAACGGCATTGATTTTTTTCTGGTGTCCTTTGAAAACGTCTTGCACCTGCTCTTTCTCCGAATTGAATAAAACGACAGTTTTATCTGCACCGCCGGTAAGTACCATTTTCCCCTGAAGCAGTTCAATGTTTTGTTACTCACCCATTTTAAGAGCTGACGAAATAAAGTTCACCTGGACATCAAGAGCAGTAACACCTGGAACTCCAGTGCTGTGGATTCCGGTATGACAAGCCGACTCTCGGAATGAGGCAAATTCATCCTGTTTCGTCAGTTCTTCTGGGAGATTCTTTCCACGCTGCTTACGGGCCGCCGTTAATGTTTTTGCTTTCTCATCCAAACGAGCCAAGACTGCCTCCGAGATGCCTGAACAACTTGTTGAGCACGTATGTTGTTTTTGTGTAAACTCCGTGACACTGACTACTGGAAAACGTTACCTTGAGCTTCATCGACACTTTGTTCCATGTCAATGTCCCCAGCCGCATGTGGTACATTAGCAGCATGTGGCTTGAGGGTAGAAAGCGCTTCACGAGCTGCCGTTAATTCTTTGGTGAGACGGGCAATAACACGGCAAGCGGCATCGTGCTAAAAAATAGATTTTTTTATTTGGACTTAAATTTATTTAACGCACATTCGATTCCATAAGCTTTAATCTTGTAATCAGTAGGGCTCACAAAAGTTCAAATCTACTGAATTTTGCTGCTATGTTAGTTCTCGAAGTAATGCATTAAGAAGTAACTCGAATAGAAATGGAATATGCGGCAATCTCAAAACGAGCACCAATCAGCGTTTTGTATGTCAATTTTTACGAGTTTTCTCAATTGTGCATAAAGCGAGTGAAAAAATACCGTTAGAAATATACATATGTATAGGACATATACCCATCGGTTATTCTTACTCTCGTGGTTCTAATTTTTGTGAGTGAAAGACCAAGGAATATCCATCTAACAAAGTTCTAGCTAAAGGAGAACGCCCGCAGGAATCGATATTGCCGAAACAGACAGTAAGTTACGTTTCAACTCTGAAGTGATATTGTGACGTTCAACTTGGACAAACATACTTAAATACTGAATGCTAACTACTGTGCTAAGCCTTGTCTTCCTAGAATCCAAGTCCCAAATCGGAGCGACAAGAAGTCATCAAGAACTATGTGACTAAAGGGTGGTTTCCATAACCGGGAAAACATTTTCGTTATAAGTTCTTCCAAGAACTACCTGGTAGAGGGAATGAGAAAGTTCCTGGCGAGCGGTCTGCAATTGCTGTCGAAGCGAGAAACTGTTCAACATCACGCTGTCCCATTCATCTTGCAACATCTTCAGGAGCGATGGAATGGATGTTCCAGCGACATTACGAGGTGCTGTGTCAACAGCACCCGTTTTCAGTGGAATTAACTGAAGGATAAAAATAGAAAACATCTACAGGACCAATATGAAAGCGCCATACCTGTTTCTCGTCTAGAGATTCATTAGTAACAGGATCAACGCCATTTTCAACAATATATTTTAAAATAAGCCGTTTCTCGTAAATATGTCCGGATGGAGCGGCCACAGGCTCCTCCGCAGGCTCTCCACTGATTGCACACGTGAACACCATTCTACTCCAAGCCCTGTTAATAGCGAGATACTTAAGGCGAAAACATCCAACCAATCAAAGAAAGATGAGTAGAGGTAAAGTATATTCGTATCGTATTGCATTTGTATTCCAAATAGCGGACGACTATACTCATTCTGACACATGGAGACCATACAAATACTTGTTTTCTGCACCCTTTTGGATACAAAAAGGCCCCGAAAATCAAAAATCGTACAAAAACAGAAAAAATTTTGACGATATCCAAAAGTGCGCGCGCTTGCAAGAGGTGCGCGCCAGCCCTCACTAATACGCAAGCGTCGCCTGAAATAGCGTGACCCTAAATGAGGGTCATCGGGGAGGTCATTCAAGAATGAGTGGGTTTGGTACATTATCCAGCTCTGTATTTTCTACATAAGTTGATGGGTTGCTTTCAGTATCAAATGAATGCCTGCAAAATAACCTTAGAAGACTGCGAAGATAGAGATTTGGCTGTCCGTGTTTTTTTTGTAAACGAGGACCAATTTAATGTGGATTTTCTGTAATACTTGGCCAGCGTCAGCGTTTGCCAAATTTATAAATGGCGCATGCAAAGGCTCCAAACTTGAACCTAGCATGAGAAGGGAGTAAGGAGAATTTCTTGTGTGGGCGTTGCACACAACCCAAATCAACGATCGCGCACATTAGGAAGCTTGATTGCACTCAGTAATCATGCTGGCAAACTAGAGAAAAACTTTAGCATTTTAATGACGCTGTCATGATAATACTCTGAGTATACTTTGTCTCCCCGGCATGGCCCGACGATCCAAGTGGACGAGTTAATTGGCGCTGGACGAGTTCGCGTCAACGTCCTCGATAGAACCCGTCCGTTGTCCATCTGCGGATTATTTTCTGGACATCAAAGTATTTGTTCGATAATTTTTCCAAAAGATTCCTATCTCAAGCTTTCCTTCTTTGGTTCAACGTACAGAATGTGCATCTGTCGCTATCGTTTCACGGTGGTAACACAGTTCCCTTTATTGCTGCCCAAACATATCCTTTTTTCTGTTATTCCCAACCTCTTCGAATGTCGACTTTGAAGTTATGGTTAGTGAGGTGATATTCTAGAAAGGTACCTATGACCATGTACGACTCCGAAGAAGACGGGGATCGACGTAATCGAGACAAGTTTCCTCGTGAACGAGATAGTCGTCGAGAAGATGATCGGTACGTTGCCGTTTATTTTCAAGCTTGACTTTTTTGTATAGCTTCGTTAACCGCATGCAGCAGTCAAAGTGTACAGGCAGGTGCTATTACTATTTACCAGTCAAGCGGGCGCATTGGTATGTGGATGTGGAGTGGATCACAGCAGTTCCAATTTTCATGAAGGGAGGAAGCTCTGGGATACGCGAACAGCTTCACTTTCCCCTTAATGGGATAGATCTCACGTTCTCAACATGAAACCTTATGTGCTGAAATTCTTAGGTTCTTTGAGGAGATCGTTTCAAGATTATATTTTCTTTCTAAACTTATGAACATGGTAGTTTTTTCTGCGTTTCACTAGGCGAGTTTGTTCCATGAATTATTCCAAGATTAAGCATTTGATGAAAAAAATCTGGTAGACTTTTTATTTACTCTGTGAATCTTATTTGTCTTCTTTGGGTATGCTACTGACGTTAAGTAATAAAAATCATCGGGTCTCATCCAGTAAGGGGGGGGGGCATTGTGATGCAACGTCAAGTGGCTGCCCTCACCCCCACCCCTAGACTGCCTTCACTCCCCCTGGCTCCACTTCGAGAAACCTGTGCGCCAGGGGGAGTGTAGGCAGTCTAGGGGGGTGGGGGTGAGGGCAGCCACTTGATGCCCCCCTTACTGGATGAGACCCAAATTCATCTATTGTCCACTGGTCTATGTAGCATATTGATTAGATACGAAGCCGCGGCAATTCCGCTATTACTGCCCCAAAATCCAAAATTTTATTTTCGTCGAAACTTTGCCCGTAAGGGTAATTCGATGCCCTGATTACGAATATGACATTCATTTTTGATGCTGGCGCCATTTGGCGCCAGTTGGCGCCACCTTGTCACGACGGCTGCTTTCACGAAATTTGGTGTAAACTTGTACATAGGGTTATTTGGTGTCCTGATTACGAATATGACAATCGTTTTTGGAATTGGCGCTGTTTAACGCATATTTTCTGCTCTCCTGGGCTCTCTCACTCACACATTTGTGCTTAAGACTAAGCTTGTTGGAGAAAGAGGTGAGTGGCTCACTCAACCCTGAGCCCCTTTTCCCCAAGGGCTTACTCCATAGTGATCAACTCAGTGCGAGGGCGCAGAAGAGCGGAAAATGGGCGCCAAATGGCGCAAGCCTCATAAATAAATGTCATATTCGTAATCAGGACACCTAATAACCACTATGTACAAGTTTACACCGAATTTCGTGAGAACAGCCGTCGTGACAAGGTGGCGCCAAATGGCGCCAACATCGAAAATGAATGTCATATTCGTAATCAGGGCATCGAATTACCCCTATGGGCAAAGTTTCGACGAAAAATAAAATTTTGAGATTTTGGGCAGTAATAGTGGAATAGTGCCCAATCGCCTCGCAGTATGGTTCGATGGAATAATATTCAAGCCGTCGCAAGGGTTGAGAGCAACAAGGGTATCTTGAACTGATAATTCTATAATACCTTGATTTTCAGTTCAATGACCTTAGAGTTTGTTTTACGTTTTTTTTTCAGGTATGGTGCCAAAAGGTCGAGCTCATCAAGGCGAGATGACGTTAAACGACCTCGACATGGGTGAGCATATTTATGAGCTGTAGCTATTTGGTTCAACCCTTTCAAATGCCTTGAACATTCCTTACTCATCTAGCAGTGAATCGGACAATGGTGATACGAAGAATGATGACTTCTCTGGACCAATGCTTACTTTCAAGAAGTTTTTAATGACACAGGTAGCATATTCAGTAAAAGTTCATTTTTCTGTTTAGTCCCTCTTGTTATATTTTGTTCTGGGCCTGGTGCTGAATGCTGGGAAATGGAATGATGGGTACCCTTCTCGCGATGCGGAATGCTGGGAACGGGAAGGCACAATGATTATGGCTTCCAGGACATAGCCTGAAGGGGAGGAATTCCGTGGGGAATCGAAACTGCTTACCCGCACCGGATTTCCTCCCCGCATCCTAAAGCCTAATTCTAAACTGAGCTTTATCTTAGTTCTAAGTCTTCTGAGCTGAGAGCGCCAGAAGAATAGATCGTTGCTCCCTCATGTGCCATCTCTTAAAGGCATCTGTTACGATATTTTCAAGAAGGGTTTAGAGGAGACGTGGTGGTGCTCAATGGTACGCCAGTGGCGAAAAAAAGGAGAAATCCGTCAAAAAAGCAAAACGGGACCCCTTTTTTGGCCGTTGGTTTTCACTCATGAACAGGTAACAGCTCAGAAAGCGGACGTATGAACGAGTTCACGCAACGCGTTTGGTGGCACCATGCCAAACCACGCTCCAATCGAGTTGCTCCAGTTGTGCCGCTGCTGGCAACGCAGCTCGTCCAAATCACCAACTAAACCAAGTGGGCCGTATGCTGAATTTGGGTAGGGGACGGGGATGGGTGAACGTTGGGGAGGTTCGTCGCAGGACCCTTCTGGGCAGCTGTCGCACCTTCAATATTGCAGCTCTGTTTGTATTCTTTCATCGCTGCTTTTGGTATGAAGAAAGATATTTACGTGCGAATATACAATCAGAAACAGTAAAAGGGTGAAAACAAAGCTGCAAAATCAAAGGTGCGACAGCTGCCCAGAAGGGTCCTGCGACGAACCTCCCCAACGTTCACCCATCCCCGTCCCCTACCCAACATTCAGCATACGGCCCCAGGGCGGATCGCTTTTGGGTGCTCAGCAACCAGCGAATCTTCCGTTTGTGCCTGGCAGCCAAAAACTGATTCGTGTGGTGCATATACTTCTACGATGCGCTCTCACTTTATCGTAATCGCCGCCTTTAACCACATTAATACCAACCCACATATTTCTATGCGTGTATGTGGGTGTGTGATGCTCACGAACTATTCTACGATCAATAAAAGACATTGAAAGAATGGAAACAATTGTAGAGGTCGGGGCCAAATCCTATCCTTCCCCTAGGGCGTCCTTCGCTGCTCATCCTTCCTACGGCTGGGGAGACAGGGTTGCGTCAAAGGACCCGCCATTGAACGCGTGATGCTTGTAGCTACCCTCCCCTGTTGAGGCACTCTCTTCTCTATGTCGCGCTGTCTGGAGTCTAGAAACGCAGAGCATGGCTGGTCCTATGACGCGAACCCTGTCTCCCCAGCCGTAGGATAGGTTCAGCGACGGGGGACGAGTCCCCCGGGGAAGGATAGGACACGGCCCCAGTAGCGACACAATCGTAAGAAGCCTTTCGGCAGTGGCATCACTATTCATGCCGAGAGAGCACAAACGAACAGAGCCCCCTCCCAACTATGTCAGTATCCGTGGGTAGGGTCAACCGTGCGTTGTGCAGTTCGACGGCGGTCATTTGAATTTTTTAGAGAGGGTCGTATTTGCTGTTGGTGAAGGTGGAAAGGTTGGAATGGGAGTCATATTAGTGCTAACTCAGTTGGAGGGCGGGAGGGGGTAGCACGCGGCGGTGCGACGCTCTACATGTCTCCAGCTCTAAGGCCGACGTCATACTTTGCGATTCGATTAGCGAATTCGCTCGAATTCGCTAGCGAATCGCTAATCGAATCGCAAAGTATGACGTCGGCCTTAGGCTTGGTCATAGGGGTCGTTACTATTCGCCACATTGTTGCAGTTTTGAAATACAGTAGCACCGGGGGCTAAGCTTTGCAGAGCAAGACGACCAAAGCGCCACACCGCCGCGTGATCCCCCAAATAAGTTAGCATCGTCATATTTACCACGAAATAGGCGAAAGTAGAGAATTTGCCGTCCTTAAGTCATATTGCCAACCCCGTCCCCCTTCCCTAGCTCGATAGTTATTTCGGAGGAAAGACGGAGGATCAGTTAGGGCGTGTCTACTGGTTAGGAATCAAATGCTATAGGAGCAGCCAATTGTGGGTGGTGTTCGGGGTCGCACGGGAGGCGTCTAACCACGAGGGCTTTGTAAGTTTTGCCCCGCTTTCTCAGAGCGGTTTTTTGCACTCGTTGGCGGGAAGGTAAAAACGCAGAGGTTATGGTCCGTCCTATGACGAACCCAATCTCCCTCACCCTTAAGGTAGCGTCGGAGGAGGAATAGCATACAGCCCATGAGTTTTCAATAAAAAGCATTCAAAGGATTGAAACAAAATCGCAGTAAACAGCGTTTGAAGGATTAAACAAACTCGTAGGATTGAAGGGCCGGCTATGGAGTGGTGGGTCCCGTCACGCAATCCTCAGAGGGTTCTTTCCATTTCCCATCACTCAACTTACGACCTCCTATCTTGCTATCTTCATGTATCGTGTTCAGGAAGATGATATCTCCGACTCAGCTGCATTGGCAGCTTACAACGAATACAAGCAAGAATACAAAAGAAGAGAACTTCAACGTTTCTTCGACGCCCATAAAACGGAAGAATGGTAATGTTCAGACAAAAAACCGTAAAAGTGGTCATCTAAGTTACACCACGGCCATATTTTGCGATGCCTCGCATTTTGTTCCCCGTTCGAGTGTGGAGCAGGTACATATCGAATACGATCGCGCGAGTGCATTGTCAATACGCATCTGTCCATACTCGAATGCAGGCGTTCCCAATATGTGACCGCGGTCTTATGACAATTAATCGTAGTTCCAGTGAGCACGTTTTATTCTCTGGTATATCTTGTTCAGGTTCCGTCATAAATATCATCCTGAAGAGTCGGCTACTATTCGTGACGCGCACATGGCCGACATCAAAAAACGTCTCGAAATTTTCAACGACATGAAATCGAAGGGCTGCTTTGATGATTTCACCTTGGATCTGCAACATGCCCGCGAAATCATTCGCACTATGGACACCTGTAAGTTACGGCTATCAGTTCACCAGAAATAGAGGCTTTCACCGTGCCGTTGTGTTTAAACGAAGTTCGCAAGTCATGGTTTCTCATTGGAAGGGCTTTCAGTCCAAATATTCCGCATGGTCTCTTTTTGCGCTTTAGTTTTCGAAAGCTTCGAATATCTTCGTGGTATATCACATAGTTTGCAACATCCTGTTTCAGTGGTGGTGCGTCTTGAGGGTGGTTCAGAAGAAGACGTTGAAGCCTTGAAACATGAGAAAATCGAAGATGATTCGTTGTTTGACTTGGGAGAAAAGAAGTCTGACGAAGACACTGGCGCAGACAAGGATGAAGCGCGTGGATCAGAAAGCGAGGGTTGGTTTCATTCTTCGAAATATATTCTAGATGACAGTCCCTTTTACTTTTCTGCTTCATTTCTGCTTTAAGTATAGGGTTCTTGTTAAATTTTACACTTAGATGCCTTACTTTTGTTTCTTTCACTTTGCTGGACTTTTAAGCGTTCAGCTACGGTGAAAGCAATGCATGTATCATATCGCGGGGTGATCTTTTTGATGAGGTGAAGAAATACTTGGAATGTTGCACACCAAGCAGTATTGTTTTCAGCCAACGAAGAAGGTCGTGAGAAGCGTAAAAAGACCTTGCTACACAAAACAAGTTCTGTTTTCATGCGAAACGTACCCGCGACAGTGAAAATCGCTGACTTGGAGGCGGTCAGTGGGCCTTACTTCTTGCTTTATATATGTTCTGCTGGTTCTTCCTCATAGATGATCCCTTTCAGATTTGCAGCCGTAGCCCAGGCTTTCTTCGTATAGCGCTAAGTGAACCGCATGCTGATCGAAGTTTCTCTCGTAGAGCTTGGGCAACTTACAAAAGAGATGTTAATATTAAAGAGATATGTTGGACATTAAATCAAACCAAGGTATCAGTTGTGCAGTAGTGCATGCTTTTCTATCATTTAGCTATACTGTGATTGGGATATGGTTCAATTTTTGGTTTAGTTGAATGATTCTACGGATCTCAGCGTGATTCTCAACCGAGATCTCACTCGTCGTATTCGTGGAATTAGTGGAGTGACTTCACATAAAGATGTGGCTCAAAATGACATAAAACAGGCGGCAAAGGTAGGACTTCTCTAAGAACTCTGCATTGAGTAGATCGTACATATCCTTACACATAATTGACATTCATATTACAGCTCGTCGCGCTGATGGATAAACGTGTTGGCCTGTTTTGCGAAGAAGAACCGAAGGAAGAACGGGATAAAGACATATTCACAGGGGTTGATCTCGTTGCGACATCAAAAAATCCACTACTCAGACAGGTTGGGGATGAAAAGGAATAAAAAAGAGTTTGGAGAAATGAAGAACAGACGTCATCAGGGAATGAATGAAATGGCTTTGGGAAGATGAAGGGTGTGATAAGACACAGGAATAAAAGAAAGATGATGATTGAAGAGAATTTGCAGTTGGATCTTTTCATTTAGGTTCGACCAGTGTTGAGGGAATGCGACGAACCGAGCCCGGAAGAAGAGGAGATGCTTGGTAGGTGCAGAAGATGCTGTAATTTTGAGCATGAGTATTCAAAAAAGTTGCAATTATAAACACAAGCGCATTGATATGTTATTTATATCGTTTCTCAAGAACCACTTCAGTTTCAAAAGTGCCCTTACGTTCATATTTTATGATATATTCGGAGCTTTATATATTAGTAACCGATGACGATATTTCTTGCTTGGCATTTGCAGTCTTTAGATATAATACTTCACGAGTAATAGGGCTGGAATAGAGTTAGCGTTATTTCGGGGATATTTTCTTGCGATGAGTGCGCTTGACTTGACACTTGCGATGCGATGCGATACTCGACTTGCGAATGCGTTGACGACTTGCGCGCGGGAATCCACACTTTGGCTCCGGACTACATTGTCACATGGACATTGTCAAAAGTTTAGAGGGTGAGCTCTATGGAAGAATGGTTAGTAAGTGGATATCGAAACCAAACTGGCACTTGGGTGAAAAGAATCACAAGGATGCTGGATTATGGGCTGAACTCCTCGCCCCGGCGGCAATCAATCCCCACCTCTAATGGCGAAACAAGGCAAAATCATTCAGAAGAGAAAGAGTTGTGTGCAATGTCAGGCAAAGTGATAGTTGGGAGGAATCTCAAACTAGTCATCTAACGTTGTGTTAGTGTTGTGCTCTAGACATTAACACATTGACGACATTGAGACGCGGTAACGCGTCTCACTTTGCGCACCTCGTTGGACATTGAGACGCGTTACCGCGTCTCACCCTTATCATCCCTTTTTCTAGGGCATGCGCAGCTTTTTCCCGAATTGTTTGTCTCTCTTCTATGGATTAGAACATAACATTATTGTGAACGACATAGGTCATTGTTTGTTCAAATATGCTCCAGTTTAGAAGAAGTTTTCCAAGCTCACCGAAACCGGCGGCTTGGTTCATTAATAGTTTTCATGCTATTCTCATGAACACGTCAATAAAAAAGGGTAGTGAAAGTAAATGCAAATCTAAAGAGACAGAAAAATACATGTTTCACTTGGTATAACCACATCAAAAGAGCTTTTGGCATCCACTACAGATAAAATGACTAAAGTTTCCTTTTTCATTACCATTACATGTTCTTTAATCGGAACTTCGTCACTATATACTCTATTACCTTCTACGCATTGACTGTTACTGAGATGTTTTTGTACCACTGGTGCTTTAAAAAGTTATCAATAAAAATTCACGGATCCGAGGTGCGGCGGTCGCACTCGCAAAATCGGCCCGGTCCCACACGGCCAAAAAAGCCAAAACGCGCGCGGCGCGCGCTCGCATCTGGTTACACGAACCTGACTAAAACATGGCTCGGCAAGTAGCCCAGCAGTCAACATTATTAGGCACAATCGCTTGCCCGTATCATGGATGCCCACGGTGAAAAGGGGTTACTATCGTGGGTCAACTGTTTATGTTGGGAAGGCTTTCGAAATAGGGCCGATTCCCTCTCAGAAAACCCCACCACATGATCCTCGCATCTTCAGCAGTCCATGATGTCGGCCGTAGAGTCTGGTACCACTTGACATACTCCAGTCCCGCCCCCAAAACATGAAAAGTGCGCCGAGCAAGAAAATGTATAATATATATAGCTCGTGAAATGAGTGTGAGGAGAAGGTTGCTTATTCAATCCTTCAAGAAAATTATATTGCTTCAAATCCGAGCTCTCGCTCGAGTTCCCACCGACAGAACCTCCTCCAAAATTCCCAAGTACAATTGATTTTGAAAAATGCATGTGCGATCTCTTCTTTAGCCTACTTCCCTATGTTCATAGCAGATTCGATTTGGACGTTGCCGTTGACTTTTCTACAATTTAGTTTTCATTTCTCAATTCCGATCTATTGATTTCTCGTATAACTTCGTATAATGTATGCTATACGAAGTTATTACGACTGCGCTAGATTTTTCTTGAAATTCGTTAATGTAGATGGATTTGGTTAAAAATTTGCCTGCTCATTGTGGTGGTTTGACTCGTAGAATACGATCACAACAGTTTGGCGCAAGAACGCTTGTCGCTGACGCCAGCAATTTGCTTGGCGCCCGCACCTCTGCTGCAAGCTACAAACAGTTTCCAGACAAAGGAATGTGGTAGAAATGCTTCTCTTCATCAAATACCCCTCCAGGGCAAATTTTAGCGATTTTATGGCCTAAGGTGACTTGGCGGCAGTGCTTGTGGGACAGGCACCAAGCACGGGTCAAACTAGACACCGAAAACTTTTTAGCCAAATCTACCTCCATTTGCAATCAGTTTTCGAAGGGTGGGGCAGTAAAGCCTAAATAGTGCCTAATTCTTTGCCACCATCGGTTTTTATACGCATGCGAATTTCGCTATGAAATCGTGGCCTCCTGCTTTAGATGATGTCATGAAAAAGTTACAGCGTATTGTCGACGAGGATTTTGTGGATTTTGCCGAGCATACCAGGTATCGGTTATTAAATTATTTATTATCATTTTGGAATTCTATTGGTTATGTGCTCCGTCACTTCACAAGCAGAGAGTGAAAAGTCACTGCCGCGAGCGGATGCGTAGCGGTCATAGAATGATGTAGAGACGAGGATGTATTTTCATCAACGCTTCGATTAAACAGCATAATAGGCAAATGTAGGGTCTGGGATCGAATTCCGGATCAATTTTTGCTTGGGCCAACCTTCCCACGTTCTGAGATCGGTGAGCTGGTACCGTACTCGATTGAAAGTGTGACATCATTAGTTTTGATATCGCTTGGCAGGTCGTTACCCAAATAGCATGCGAATGTTGCTAAAATTCATTATTAATAATGATATTGGGTATATTATTAATATTGATATTGGGTTTTAATGTATTATTTACGCGGGGAGTAGGACAGCAGAGTTGATCGGTGAACTTGATGGATTTCTTGTAGTCATTTCGTACATCCTAGCCTTTTACACAAACAGTACCGAAAGCAATTTGATGACGTGATGAATTTTTTCATCTCAAGCTGGTGCAATGCCAGTGGGATGGGCACGCCAATTTTTTGAATACGGTAGGCGCGAAAATGTATGAAGGGCTTGCGTCCGTTACCACGATTTAACGAGACGCTATGAAAGTCGAGCATCACTATCTCTTTGTGGTTTTTTCTACCCTCGATGGTATTTCCTGCTGGATCGACTAAGCCTTAGGGGGAGGGAGAAACCCAATCCTTGCGAGGCTTGGGTTAGTTCGTCGATTCCCGTCTGATCATAGCAATGGATATCAGCCTTCAGGTACATTTCGCGCCTACCGTATTCGAAGAATTGGCGTACCATTCGACTGGCCTGAACCCCCAGGCCCATTATAAAACTCAGTCTGTAATCCCCAATAAGTCTAGTAAAATTCAACTAAACCCAGAGATATGAGAGTTACGATTGGCCGGGACGATTCCACGAAAAGGTGGAAGGGGAAAAATACCTGGTTTGATGAAATCGAACCTATGAGTCTCGTCACATCGCGAAACCAACGGACAAAAACGTGGTCCCATTTCTCGGGTTCTGGGCCGTTTTCCTTGATTTTTTTGGTCACCATTGCACAATAACCATCTCAACCGTGATTTCTGATGGGCTGCCTTTTCGTCTTCAGCTCCGTCCTTGAATTTGGCACTTGATTTCCGGACCATGAGTGTAGAAACGGCATCCCTTATCACTGATGCACATCCGCGCAAGGTGTTTTCTGATAATTCCAGTGCTCATGGCATTCCGCGTGCATACGTATCGGAAGGACTTCGACGGGCTTTGTTGTTTACTCTTCTACTGTTTGTGTAGGCTTTGTTCAGCTATAACGTATTTTGATATTTTTACGTTTCTTAGTGATGTCGCCCGTCTTCAGTTGCTTTTAGTTTCATATTTACAATCCTTCTATTTAAGAGCATTCTGTTGAACTGACCATGAGTGGTGCTATTTTGGGCTGATCAAATATGCATTACACCAGGAAAATTCACGTCAAAATTGGGTGTGGGAACAAGGGAAGGGAATATATGGGTACTGTTGTTATAAATGAGGCTGCAAAGGGCACTCGACAGGGTCAACTGCTCTTTGTGAAAAGTTCATCGAGAAGGTTGCAGTGAGAGAGAGGGATCGTTTTTGGGTTTTTTTTTGAGAAACTTCTCGAAAAGTGCATGGAATGGGAAGAATAGAGCATCTTCGTCATTTCAAAATATGTAAATATCTCCTATATCCCCTCCCCTCCACTCCATTGACAGTGGAGGAGGAAAGTAATTTGTTGGAGAGCGAAGACGTTCACTTGGTCCTCAAAACTTAACGTATTTAAAAAAGCTGTCATGAACATAATAAACGTAAGTGTGAAATATGAATATTCGGAAGGGGGGGGGGCGACACGAGTAACAGACCGGATCAAAGTGAAAGTATAATAATAAAAATGGGGTTTGCGGAAGGGCACTTTCAACTTTCAGAGCACAACTCCAATTGATACATATGATAAGGGAAGAGGATCAACGTGGACCCGTACAAAATCGTATAACCTATAAGGCTTTTTTCTTCCGATGCTGCATTGGCACGCAAAAAACTTCGTGAAATAAGCAGCAAAGTAGAAGCCATTTCGCTATAGTAATAGCACGACAAGGCACAAGGTAACGTAGCGTACAGGTACCGAAGTGCTGAAAAATGTATGCCTATGTTTAATAGAATTGATGTCCTCTCCGCGACTCCATTTCGAATGCGTATGAGTGTCCCTAAACATAGCACATTTGCACTACGGTTAACGTCGGTAAGATCGGTGCGGATACCTGCCCATAGATTAACTATTGCGAAAAATTCAAAATCGGCATCGATGGACACCCTCGTTGCACCCATGATGTGTAGGACTTCTTGTAATCGATGTGGTTCGGGGGAATACAGTGGTAGAATGTTTATTCTCTAGCTTGGATTCTGGGCGTGCCTCTCAGTCTCAAACGAGGCCGCGCCTGTGGTATCATTTGAGTGACATTTATGTGCTCAAGGAGTGGTGAGGTGATGAGATGAGTGCGTAGGTGAGATTAGGTGGGAAGGTTCTGGTGGCATGCCTAGTAACCTCTGTTGTCGCTTACATTCATGTGAAAGCTCTAGGCCTATATAAAAGGGGCTATGTAGCAATTCAGCGCACGCGCACATTTCCCCTTCCTGGAACTGGATCTCTCCAGGAGGCACGCGATCCGCGAACCCACAAGATTATAAGTAAGAACATAGATTATCACCGTAACCCACGTGTTGCGTGTCAGAGCGGCGTTGCAGGCTTCAATGTAACCCCCCCCAATCCATGCTTACTAGTGTGAAAGCGGCAGTAGCGACGCCCGCCCCTGCTTGTTCGTTGGTCAGCCGAACACAAAATGGAGCGACGTCGCAGCGTTGGCCTCACCGCTTGCGCGACGAAGCCGAACACCGTCGCAGCGTTGGCCTCGCCGCTTGCGCGACGAAGCCGAACACCGCCGCAGCGTCCGGCTCGCCGCCCGCGCGATGGGGCCGAGCACCCACGGCGAAGCCGAACGCCGTCTGGGCGTCGTGCCCGTCTGCGCGTACAACAGCGCAATGCACCGTCGCTGGACTTCGCCTCGCCATGCGATTTTCTTGTCCGCCCTTTTTCGCCGGCGAGGCTGAGCCGCTGCGCGCGCTCCGCGCGCGAGCACAGGGAGGTGATCCCCGGGGTGCCGCCCCATCCGACGTGTGGCGACAACCGCTCGCGTTGTGTCCTCCACCTTCTACATAAACGGCGCATAGTACTCTGGCCTGCTCGACGCATTCTCTCTTCGTTGAGAGGGTGCAGAGAAGACGAGAAAATCGATGACACGTGAGAATGCGCGCCCCAGTGCAACGTCGAGAAGGTTACGGTATACACCCTATGTTCCTGAACTTATAATCTTGTGTCCCCGACCCTACCCGCAAAATTTTCGGTAACCACTCTGAGCCAAGGTCACGCAGTTCGCTGTAACCATGTTCGACAGGGAGTCAATATTTCGGATATCCGGAAAGAAGAATCTTATTATTATATATCATCATGGGGTATGCCTTTAAACTAGTTCGCCTCCAAAAGTCGCACAAACCTGCGTTCGTTGGACAGCATATAAGGGCCATTTACGATTTAGAGCTTCGTACAAGGCCCGGTACTGCTCACGTATTTAACAACATTTATACAGCTACTGCCAACTAACGCTAGTGAATGCAACATAATAGTGACGGTTTCCTACGAAGTTATACGATTCAGACATGTTTCAGAAATGATATCGTGGTTGGTGTTGAAATCCGATTCGAACAAATTCGCTTTCCAGCTGTCACTATTTGCAATATGAATCCGTATAAGAACTCTCTAGCTCGCCAATCATCTTCAATAAAAAGCGCCGTGAGTTGAGTCGTTTCACTGGTGGGAACTTCAACTTGCTGCATTTCAGCATATTCCAACTTGTCATGACTTAAAGCCAAGGATCATGATTGAACTGATGTGGTAATTCCCACTCAGCTATGAAAGTAGGGATGAGAGATGGACTGCAAGTGGAGAAAATGAAAGAAAATCTTGAAAAATAGAAAATATGATCCTTTTTGCTCTACACTTTGGAGAAGTCTGTGAAGTCCGAGTAGTAGATCAACACTGCGGTGCGCATAAGAGCCACTGCATAACACCTTTGTATCCCCCCCGCCTGCCGGCCTGACAGTTTTGACGAATCGATCATTCGTTATGCGCTAGCGTGTTATTTTTAGTGACGAGTTTCGATGTGCAAAAAAGGCAGACCACACTCCGACATCCACGGGAGCGACTGACTTAGCAAGGCTGAGCCCGGACCCTGTCTTTAAGAAAGGTGGGGGTGGCAAATATTGCAGAGCAGCTATTGAGACGGGGTGAGGATTTTACCTGAATCTAAGGAGAGTACTGAGCTCCAGGTGCGTGAAAATGAAAATGCCATACGACATGAAAAGCTGGATCAAATAGAAGAGGATGGAATAAGAGCATCTGTCGTCATACGAAGTTATTACGGGGAAAAAAAAAAAAAAAAAAAAAAAAAAAAAAAAAAAAAAAAAAAAAAAAAAAAAAAAAAAAAACACAAAACTTACAAAAAGAGACTGACGAGGATCTCCCTCTTCAGTTTATTTATGCCCCATCAATAACTCTGAATGTAGTAATTCTTAACGAAGGCTGACGTCTTGCTTTCTCAAATCTTCAGAGCTTGTGAAAGTCAAGATTCTTGAGATTGACCTCAGGAAGCTTCTAGTGATTCCAAAGACAGCACCATTGCCTTCCGGATTGCTAGAAGCTTCGAAGGGTCGATCTCAAAGTTGTAGAAAACTCAGTCTAGAAAACCACCAGAAAATTTCGCATTGATTAAAAATTTCGACTGAAGGCCTTCTAGTCTATTAGAGTTGCTTCGGCATTGCTAGAAGCTTCGGGGGCCGATCAGAGTTCTCGGTTTTTTCAGCTCTGAGAAGGCGAAGGAACCGAAACGTCAGCCTTGGTAAATACCGCAATCTTGGAGAGGCCTCAATAAACAATAAAATTCATTCTTCGATGCCAAGATTAGAAGAAAGTCGATCGTAGACTTTATGTCTCCCTATTCTCCTCTCAAGGAATAAGATCACTTCCCTCCCATTCTCCGCATGTTGATCTGTTTCTATTAGCTCGAGTCGCTTCGAATCAGGCCATTGAACGCGTCTCAATCCATTGCAGCTCACCGTCGACAGACCGTCGGAACGGTAACCTGCCCTACTAAATTTGCATTTAGAGCGGCAATTCAAGCGAGATCGATTTGTTCCAGATCATCAGATGTACCGTCCCTGCGACTGCTCACGTGTACTGTCGACGGGATCACGATCATTATGTGGTGGATCCAGAAGGAGACGAGCGATGTGTGCGTAATTCCTTTTATCTTCCTCGTCGTGCAACAAGAGGTCACTGCGCGACATCGCGCTAAACAGGTGCGATGTCGCGCAGTGACCTCTTGTTGCACGACGGCAAGCTCTTAGAGCAGACAATACAACTGATTTCACGTCAATAATCTCAGATACGCGTAAAATTCTTCCAGAATATTTCAGCTATGCTCCTCCTTTCCCATGGAGCAGTACTTACTGGAACTGTGCCCCAGAAAGAGAGATTCAGATCCAGGCGTGTCCAAACGATACTGCATCGCCATCTCCGACACTATGTTACTGCCAGAAAAACAACTACTGTATCGAGGTAGAGAATCAAATAAAGGTATCCATAACAGTGAGAGTATCTGTTGATCCGTATCGATCTATGGAATAGATTGAAGTGCTCAGATTGTTCGGTCGGTGGCCGTTGACGCTTTCGATGAGCGACTGCACAAACTCGTCCATCTCGTCCACATGCTTATGCGTCTTGCCCCACACAGATGACGCCGCAGTGGCCTCACCGTCCTACTGTGCAGGCATTTCAAAATGGGAGTATACAATATGCTATGGATGTGATTGGTGGGGAAGGTGGGTATTGTTAGTCAGTTGAGGAGTTTCGCCGCGACGGCGCGTAGCATGTTCGCTACCTTCAGTTGTTCTTTTGTTTTTGTTTGTTGTTTTTTTTTCGAGTTGTTTTTGATTCAGAAGTGTTCTTTTTCTGCTTGATTTTAGGATTCTTATACTTAATAACTATTAATGTACCACTTATACTGTTCTGAGGAATAAAAAATGAATATTTTCAAGATGTAGTCGATCATTCGGTCTGACCGGAGAAGAAGAGTGTATATGTGATGGCGATTCCTATACAAGATGCTTTGCCGTGGAATCAGCAGCTGAGAGGGCACATGGAAATGGCGCGGAGGCAGAAGAAAAATCGCTTGTGAGTCCTGGTTGGGAAATCTCTCACAGGTGAAAATGGAGTTTAGGTGGGGGGGGGGAAGAGGCGCTCCTCGTTATCTTATCTATGGTATTATGGGAGCCTTTCTCCAAGGTATATTTTGAAGGAGTCCATTACAAATCGTAGCGCGGTGATCGTTACCTTTAGTATTAGAGGGCACAATAGAGTGCTCCCCCAAACCCTATTTCCTCCGTTTCACACCCTCTGTTTCTTCCACGACTGAGGGACTCCTTCGCCCTCAGGAAGGAGCAGGAATGTGTTCCCTCCACCACATATTACGATATACAGTGCGCTGTACACCTGTATAGGGTAATCCGACGGGAGGCCTTTCGCACCTCTAGAAGGCAGAGACGCAGACGAGTCGGTGGACGAGTCGAAATGCGTACTGTAGCGATCTAACATTAGAGTTGAATGTACTGTAGTACGTCCCATTCAGACAGTACGTGCTGCGACTCGTCTGCTGACCCGTCTGCGTCCCTGACCTTGTTCCCGCGCGACAGGCCTCCCGTCCAAGGCAGTGATCAACTGGAAGGCTTGGTGATTCAGCGTTTTGTAGTGTTCTCTGGGCACTCTCGCACATGCACACTATTACAGCATCTCTGCTTTCTTTCCTTCCTTTAAAAGGCTTAGTCCTAAAGAAGCAAAGCGTACCTTTCTGTTTGGACTCTCACGCGTTGACTGACCACTGCTGCGTAACCAGCCCTTCTGTCGGGCACCCCTGCATAGCCTCTTCCGAAGCTTCGCTGCTGACGCGCGTCGTAGCGTGGATGAACTTTGCCAGTGCAGATGTTAGAAAAAAGTATGAATACGGGGAGCCTTCCTGTCACTCTTCACGGTTACCACCTTTGAACCTTTCTTTTTTTTCCTCAGTGACTGTTTCAGGGAATTTGCATAACTTCTATTTTCAGATACGAGTCCGCAGAGGCAAAACCCGTGTCTACGAGAAGATTCTCAGCCAATACGAGGGTATTCTTGCAGTCTACTCGATGTGTACGTGTAAATCCGATCTAGAGTGCATCGCAATCAAAGAAAAGGTTAAAATCTGTTTGAGCTATGTCAACCGTCCCATTGAGAAAATTTCTAAGTTAGAAGAACTCCTCTGGAGGGCGTCTCCAACAGGACCTCTTCCAATGATCGATAATGTGACCGGTAGAAGAGTCGTGGTTGGGCTCGGTTCAATCATCATGCACCTCAAAACTCCCCTTCCCCTCACTAAGGGTCAACCGTCATTGTTCCTTTTCGGGAATTTTACGAACCCCTTTCTTTAGAGGAGGTGGTCTTCATACTACTCCTCACCATCACCATCAGCCTTAGTGGTCGGGGGGAGGGGGAGGGGGAGGAGGGTGAACATATCTAATGAAACGACTAAACCTCTAATTTCTACCACTTCATGCTTACAATTTTCGAATGCCCACCAAAACTACCAGAAAACCCGCTAAAGAGGACTCTTTTCCCATCATCACAATCCATGCTACCTTAAAAAATACGGCTCCTTTTTTCATTCTCAGACCTGCGCTAACCCCTAATACGACTCATCTCCTTCGGAAAATCTCAAATGCGACTCCTTCCAATGCACAGTTGACCCCCCCCACCCCCTCCCTCACCCCAACCCTCTGATCTGCGTCTAGCGAGTATGTCTAATCCTGAAACGGTAGAACATGAAATTCTACGAAGTTCCTAACAAATTTTCCTTCTCAATACCTTCTCTCGTACTTACAGAATAGCGCGCTTTGAAATCATCTAATGCAGCACCTCTTAGGGGATTTCAACTGGCTTGCAGCTTTTTTATAAACTTAATAGGACGTATGTTACAGCAATAGTCGCCATTTAGACTGCTGATAGTAGTTAGGTAGAGTCTGCAGTGGTCAAAAGAAATGCGAGAGAGCCGCTCAAAACTCGCGAAGTGGGATTATTCTTTCCCTCCCCCTCGTTCCGCTTTCCATGAGCCAGTAACCAAGCCGAGCTCGCTTGCGCGCTGGTATTGATAGCCGGTATCACACCAATATCATCTCTCATTTATAGGCATTACAAAGACGAATTGAAGGAATGGCTCGTCCAAAGAAAAAATAAAAAGCAAATTATGACGAGAACAGTATTATATTAATTCGCCCGAATCCTCTACTTGGAGGTGGGTCTCGCCACGGCAAGTGGCGCTCGCCAGAATTACTGTTTTCTCGGTTGCATTGGGCGATACATCGCCGCGATATATGTCACTTTTTGCTACCTTGGGTGCCTGCTGTCCTTTTGTAGTAAGAAATCTCCCGTTTCTCCACACCAATTTATTATAGCCTCCTCCTTCGATTTTTCAAAATTTGCTTATTTACCCTTTTAGGATTTTGCCGTGGTTACAGTTCTTTTTATGGGCCACATCCGTGGTTTTGCTTCTTGACACTTTATCGTACGGTAAAGGATTGTCAGCTCCTGTACCACCAATTTACAGGGTGTCACCAACACATCCGCTAATTGTATATGCTTCTATAATAAGGGAAATGATCAGCTGTGGCCGTGCTATCACCAGAAAGATTGGCAAGAGAGGAAGTGCTCAAGGTGAGTTAATTATGCGTCGCAAATCTTATTGCATTTGGGGTGTTTCGGGAAGGGGTCATTTCGGGGCACAGCTACACTGATTTGCCAGGGATTTTTTTTTACATAGAATTCGCAGTTTCCGAGTTCACTTTCATTCGTTGGTTTCCAGCTGCAATATTCCGTTCAGTCCAGAGTGAGCATATAGACAGACAACTTACTAACTCGAATTGTACAGGTGGTGAGGATAATGAAGACAAGGACGACATCCGTTGGGCAGGGTTGGCAAAGCTCAGCGGAGGAGGAGTGGGGAGAGAGGGGGACCATCTTCGATGAAATGAACCCCTTATCCCGCTCCCTCTCTCCTAATTTTCTCTGCACGCATTTTAAATGGTGGAGTGGATGTGTCAAGCTAGGACCCATTAGCCACTCTATGACACCAATCACTTGGAGGTTCCAAGGGGCGAGACCCATTTCAGGAAGGAGAGCAGCGGTGCTCCCTGAATTTGTCCTGACCAATGGTTTGCCTTCGTGACGCGGAAGTAGGGTGGTGGCAAGTGGGGCTGCTAACCACGCGAGCGGTCCGGGGATCAAATCCTGGATCGTGAGTCGCCCGGGCCAACCAAGCCTTCCATCCCTCCGGGGTCGGTTAATTGGTACTGACTTGTGAGGGATAAAAACACTGACTTGTACATCGGCTGGCCCCGCAAGTCATTGTATAGGCCACATCGCATTCAAACGCCACTACGAATGTACAAATGGAAGTAGAATGCGTGCCGCATCCCAAAAAGGGATTGATCAACGGCAAATGCTTTATCCTTTATTCATTAATAGGTCGGAATAGGCTGATTTGATTTAGTAATGATATTTATGATATTTAAGACAATCCAACTGAACGGGAGGAAACTAAACAATGCACCATTAGCCTGCGGAAGACACTCCTCTGCCAAAGTGAAGGGCCACCGGTTTCTGCCGGTTTTACAAGGGCTCTTATGTTATCACCATGAACGTTAATATGGAATGATGCACATGTAGCAGGTGTATAGTTCAAAAACTTTAAATA